GATGTGACCGATCTCGCCACATCCATAGCAATTTGGGGACCGTCGTGCTTCTTTCCTTTGCGCTCGTGCTCTTTCTTCATAAATTTGTGGAATTTCTTGATGATGAGGCCAAACTCGTTGTCTTCATCACTTGATTCCTCTTCAACCGTTTCCTTGGTTGCTTTGAGCGCTATCCCCTTCTTCTTTTGTTCATCCAAAGACGGGGTTAGAATAGTAGATTCATAAGTTTTAACATTACCTCTTAATCCGTCGATGGTGACGTTGGAGACTCCAATAGATTCATAGATGGCCATCATTTCTAGGTTCTCTATTATTTTTATTTTTATCTTTCTTAGGTTGAGCTCTAGGTGGTTTACGTTTGTGCTCAAGTTTTTCTTTATTTTCAGATTCATCAATTTTACCAAAACCTATTCTTTTTTTAGTGTATTGAATAGAATAAAAAAAGATTAAGGTCCTTATGTGGTTTATTAAATATCTTTGCCGTGTTTTCTAGTTTAGCAATTTGTTCTTTCAAAGCTATGCAACAATCACAATGATTCGTAGAGCTCTCGGGTTTGTCAGCGCTTCTTTTACCATAAAATTTATTTTCCTCTTTTAATTTTTTGTTTTCCTTTTGAAGTTGTTCAAGCTCAGTTTCAAGATTAGAAAAACGTTTCTTTAAAACTTTGTTGGTTTTAGAAGCGCTAACAAACTCGTCATAAAGCTCTTGAAGAGCTTCTTGCATTTCTTCAAAAGAGTAAGAATCAGTAGAAGAAATACATACCTCTTGGTTTTTGTCGTTGGATGACTCCTCTTCTTCTTGATCCATGAGACAAAGGTTTGCTTCTTCGTCTTCCTCTTGCTCGCTTGACTCATCGCTGGAGTTTCCTCCCCAAGAGATGTATGCTCGTTGCTTCTTGAGCCCACGTTTGTGCTTGGCGTTCTTGGCTTTTGAACATCTAGATTTGATGTGACCGATCTCGCCACATCCATAGCACTTTGGGGACCGTCGTGCTTCTTTCCTTTGCGCTCGTGCTCTTTCTTCATAAATTTGTGGAATTTCTTAATGATGAGGCCAAACTCGTTGTCTTCATCACTTGATTCCTCTTCAACCGTTTCCTTGGTTGCTTTGAGCGCTATCCCCTTCTTCTTTTGTTCATCCAAAGACGGGGTTAGAATAGTAGATTCATAAGTTTTAACATTACCTCTTAATCCGTCGATGGTGACGTTGGAGACTCCAATAGATTCATAGATGGTGTTGGCCTTTGATCTCCATTCGGGGGTGAGGCTCCGTAGGATTTTCCTCACAAGGTTCTTGTTGGCGTACGTCTTCTTGAGGGCGTGAAGATCATTGATGATCTTCGAGAAGCGATCGAACCTGTCGTCGATCTTCTCGTCTTCCTTCATCCTGAACATCTCGTACTCCTGCGTAAAAAAGTCAATTTTGGCTTCCCGAACTTGGTCCATACCTTCGTATGTTACCTCAAGCTTGTCCCACATTTCCTTAGCGGTTGTGCAGCAGATCTTACGATAACCGTCAGGGTAGACCGCGCAGTAGAGCATGTTAATAGCCTTTGTGTAGTTCTCTACTTTCTTGATGTATTGAGCATCAAATTTGTCCTCGGTCTTCGGGACAAGTGTCTCCCCAACCTTTTTCATTGGCGTCTCTTCGCCATTCTTGATGACCAACCACAATTGGAAGTTGGTTGAGCGGATATAGATTCTCATCCGCTCTTTCCAATACATGTAGTTAGTGCCATCGAAGAGCGGTGGCCTAGAAGTTGATTGACCTTCTCCAATCCCTGCATAAAGATTTTTAGAAGAAGAACCCATGATCGCTTTTCTCTCAAACGGTTATGTTTGGACGCGAGATAGGCTCTGATACCAATTGTTAGAATAAGTGACCAACGCTAGAGGGGGGTGAATAGTGTTTGATCACCGAAATCGCAGGAATAAAAAATTTAAAAGAAAACTAAAGAGAAGAGTAAGAGGCACACCGATTTTACCCTGGTTCACCACAACGTGTGGCTACGTCCCGCATCCCGAGAGACTCTCTTGAGTTACACGAATCCTCGTTAAGCTTAACGGTGCTTAACAAACCCTTACAACTTGAGAATTCGAGATACACGAACCTCAATAAGTCCTTCGAAGGAAACAACCCTTCCTTCGAATTAAACGAGAGAAATACTTTCTCTCAACGTGTCTTAGAACACTAATACACTCAAGAACAAGACTCTCTTTAAGAGTAGATGTTGATTAAAAAATACACGCTTAAGAACAACTCAAACTTCACACAATTTGGCTTTCAAACAAGGAAAGAATCAGGCTTAAATGTCTTCCAACGGTCATGCCTAACCAGCGATGGGTATACCCTCCCATTGCTGGGTGACCAGCGATGTGTACAAGACCCCATCACTGGGTAGGGGCATTCTGCCTTGTTTTAATGTTGAACCAAGGCTTGTACAGCGATGGGTAGAACTCCTGACGAAAAGAGTTTTAGCGGTAGTAAATTTTACTCTAAAAGAGTTCCATTTATTCCCGTGTCGTATTCACGTGGATTGGCGTAAAAATAATTTTTCTATTAAAATATAGTCAGACAAAGTTTTACTCATCGATGTTGGAAGCCTTCTAAATTCGAAAGGTATTTGTGGTTTGGATTTGAAAATGAGTTGGACAAAGTAATAAAATGATTGTTTGACAAAAAGGGAATATGAATTGATTTCAGGTAGTAGGAATTTTTTAGATATTTTAACTAGTTGGATTATTAAATTAACTAATTAATTTAGCTAGTAAGTAATTCTGTCACAATAACTCCATTAATTTTATCCTATCTCTAGGCATCATTAATGTGCTAGAATTGATTGACTAAATTATTTTTCTCATTCATACACAAATGAACATAATAATTTTTCAAAGATTACTAATAAATTGGCCAGATTAATTAATTAGAACATATAACAATTACTAGCAACATAACATTTTAATTAATTAAATTTAATATTCCAACATAGTTATTTCTCCTACATTCCTACTACCCTAATTTCAATTCACATCCCTAATATATTTAAAGAGGCATATTCATAATAAAAAAACACAAATTAAATAACAAAATATGTTTATATTATTAATTAAAGAAACTTACAACTTCCAGAGAAGCGGAATAGGAACAGAACATGAACTGAAACTCCGAAATAAACTAAAACTATGCTAACTTGGGCTTAAATCGCCACTTAAGAGAGAGGAAAAATGAAGAAGAGATGATGGTGTTGAACGCTGAACGACGTTGCCTTATATAGGCATAGGAATCTCCGGGGCGGGGTCTGGGGCGGCCGCCCGGCAGGTCGCCCTGGGGTTTGGTGAACTAGATCTTTATTGATCTCCACCCTTATAACAAGGGCATCTCTGTGTGGCTTACCACAGGGGGATAGTCATCGTCGATGAACAGGATTATGGCTCCCTCTTCTTCTTCTTTGGGATTTGAGGCCTTTGAATTTCCACCAACTGCACCATGTTCTTCCATTTCTTCCACATAGAAATAGAATCTCCACTAATGTTTGCACCCATTATGAAACGACAGCCCCAATGCCACCGGTTGTGCCTTTTTTCTTCATCAAGGTTGTCACACTCTCACCCCAAGTTTCTCTTACCTTTGTCTCGATCGTCTCCTTTTGTGATCACCACCGGCTATGTTGGTGGTTTCCTCCATGTACGTGCTTGTAGAGCCGGGAGAGTCCGTCGATCTACTCGGGGGGTTAGTCCCCTGGCGATCAATTATTCCATCTCCCTCTTCAATGTAATGCACTCCGTCATAATTTGGGTGTTATTACAGTGGTACTCACAGTATTTACCCAAAGCTTGAACGCTGAAGCTTTCCCAGAGCTGAAATGAAATGGGAACATTTTGGATGGTATGGATGGTCACCCGACTCGCCTGGTACCCTAATTGGTTATGACCTTTGGTATAGTCCTTCTTCTTCTTGTTCTTTAGCTCCCTAGCAGTCAGGGGAACCTTCTTGCCTTTTAGGGCTTTGTCTAGCTGCTTCTCGTCATCTTCCTCAAGGGCTAGATATTTGGCCCTTTCCAACATCTCCTGATAAGTTGGGAGTGGATTCCTCCTAAACTCCATAGGCACATCACTTTGGGGGAGTGCTGCTTGGAGCATGGTGATCAGTGCCTGTTCATCCGCGACCTAGACGTCCCTTGCTTCTCCCACCGAGATATGAAATGTTAGAGCCATTCTCCTGCTCGTATGTTGACGTTCAACAGATGGGAGTAGGGAAGTTTTTTTGTGGTAGCTTGCTGCGAAATTCTCTAGGAACTTGTTTGCAAGATCCTTCCACTTATCAACAGATCCATCTGGCAACTTATCGAACCATTTATACACCTGGCCCTCAAGAATCGCCAGGAAACGACAGTTGATCTCTTCCGGGTAGGCCAGCATAACCACATTAGCTCTAAATTGGGATAGATGATCATGTGGATTAATCATCGATCCCATTGTACACCTTGACCTGTGGAGCCTTGAAATTCACAATAAGGTGGCATGACATAACTCTCTAAGAGATGGGAGTTACCTCATCTAGGATTACCTGGTAGTACGGGTTCTTGGCATCCACCCTTTTCATCAGCTCCCCCACCACCTTGCACAGGTCGTCCACCTTCCGTTCTTATTGGTTGGGGGAGGTTGCCCGTCTTCGTGTATGCGTTTGGGCACGAGAGTTCACCGAGGACGTCAGTCATTGATCCTTTCCCTTAGATCTTCACATTGAGATGACTGACCATCGTCTAAATGATCAAACGCAAACACCCTACGCTTCTTTTGTTTAGGTTTCTCCAGCCTGTCAAAGGCGGAGATACACTCATATGAGGAAGACTCATCTTCCTTGTTAGTTGGGGCTAAGTCCTCATCCATCGGAGCCTTCCCATTGGCTTTGGTCGCCTTCTACTTCTAGGACCGCCGTGTTTTCTTCTTGTTCTTGTCCGCAGAGCCTTCAGGCCTCACCTCATCGCTCATTGGAACACGTGTCATAATGACGTTGTGTGCACCTTCTCTGAGGGCAGCAATGGCAGCCTTGAATTGCTTAGTGAGATATCGAATGGCTGGATGAGACACTCTGCCTCAATATCGGTATTTGGCAACCACCGGTGACCCCGCTGCCTTCAGCTTCTGGATGTTGATTGCTAGTAGGTTGGTTAGCGTTGCTTTATGTCTGCATCATTTTGCTAGTTTAAGCAAGAGGTAAACTCGAGCAAAGCTTCTCAAGCTCTCAATGAGAGCACCAAATTGATGGGGAAAAAAATTCCACCAAAAGATTTGACCCGAGAAGGCGGATTGATATACAAAATGAAAAAAGTAATAATAAGAAAAGTACATAACTTGAGAACACGAAGAATGGTGCTAGTATTGACATTGTATTGAGCTTGAGATTTACAATGGTGTATCGCCTCTATTTATAGCTGCAATGTTTGACTCATACAAGGGAAGTGTTAAAGATGGTAGTTCAGTCATGGTCTGGTTTCTTTCCACCTTTGATGCAAAGCCAAGCAATCCCACTCCATCTACAATTACACAGTCAATTACGAGAAAGGCGAGATGCTCTGAATAATTAACTGGCTTAAGGCGGGTGTAATTGCCCTTAGAAAAAGAAAATAGGTTTGAAGGTCCACTAGGCTGATGATATTGGCTAGCCGAAGTCAGATGCTCCAATAGCCCATCAACTGTGTTGGTGGATATGAAAGCTACGAAAAAGGGATAGCAATATTAATCCGCACGGCATACATGAATGAGCGTATTAAAGCTCACAATCCGTATTAATTTATGACTGAATTGATGTTCGAATTATGTAAAGTACAAAGTTTGGATTATTATAGACAAATTTCCGGTTAATTTTCACAAACCGTTCACATCTAAAAGTAGTGACACCAATACTCTATTTTACTTCGTGATTTTACAACTTAAATTTGAGAGGAGGCCTTGAAGGAAAGTGCAAGTACAACAAACAAAAATGATCAGATAAAATTGTACCATGATGGGCTTTTTGAGGAGAAATAAGCTAAGTGTACCCCACATAGTGTACACGAGGTGTACACCACCCTTGTCACAAACACACACAAACACCTATTGTCAGTGTTTCACAATAGGTGTTTGTGACAAAGGTTGTACACCACCCAAGGTACACCTAGCAGGACTCTTTTGAAGAATGTAAGTGTTCTCTACAAAGTATTTCATAACAATCAGGACAGATATTACATAATTTTTACCAAGTTGAGAAATTACAACAAATTTGAAAATGATATAGTCCGAACATTACATAAGCTCTATATTGGCTTGCAAACCTTAGAGCGTACCAAAATGACTAACTTTTGGTATGTGTCTTTGGGCTGTCATTGAATGAATGAAAAGGGTTGACGTAATTATATTGAAGAAATAGGTAGCTAAAATCATACAACACGAATAACCCAAGTTCACTTTGAGATTGACTGGAGAAAAAAAATGGATAATTTTGTGAAGCATCAGCTGCATATGATTCAAAGTTGGAATCTTTGTTGGAGTGTTACGTATTGCTCAGCAAAGAACGGACCAGTGAAGGGATAACTAATATCATCATACCTACTTTATTTTGTTTCTCTTGCGCTTTTCCTTTTTTAACACTAGCCCAATTCCTCTTCATGCGCTAATCATCAAGGATTTCATTCTCAGGACATGCCTGGTTTCTCAAAGGCACTGCTTTTAATCTCTCATGAACCCCAATTTCTTGTTGCTTCTTCACAACATTGTCCAAAACAAGTTGATGGACATCATCAATGATTTTATTGTCAGGAAATGTTTGGTTTGTTAAAGGTGCTACATGCACTGCATCGCGAACATCATTTTCTCGTTGATTTTTTGCAACATTTTCCGAGGCAAGACTATGGTCATCATTAACAATTTCATTGCCCTGACTTGTCGGGTTTGTTAAAGGTGCTGCTTCCACTGCCTCATGAATCTCACTTTGTTGCTTCGCAGAAAGATTTCCAGAGACAAGACAATGGTGATGATCATCAAGGATATCATTATTAGGACATGCCTTCTTTGTGAAAGGTCTTTGCACCGCCTCATGGACCTCATTTTCCTGCTGCTTATTTACAACAAGGTTTACTAACAAGGCCCTTGTTGCAGGCACTGCATTCTGAACCCCAACTTTTTGTTTTTTAGTCTTGCGTTTCTCCATTCTTTCAACTGTGGAACACTTCATCTTCCGGCATGCATCACCAAGGATTTCACTGCCAGGACATGTCTGGTTTGTCAAAGATGATGTTTGCACTGCTTCGTGAACCTCAATTTCTCGTTGATTCTTCGCAACATTTTCTGAGACATGATGGTGGTCATCATCAAGGATTTCATTGTGAGAACATGTCTGGATTGTCAGAGGTGTTTTCACTGCCTCGTGAATCCTATTTTTTTTATTTTTTTTCTTAAGATTCTTTATTTGCACAGTGGAACACTTCCTCTTCTTGCAGGCATCAACAGGGATTTCATTGTCATGACTAATCTTGGTTGTCAAAAGTGCTTCTAGAACTGCCTCGGGAACCCCATTTTCTTGCTTCTTCAAAACAAGTTTTTTCACAAGGCAATGAGCAAACCTTTCCAAACGAGGCCCTGATATAGACTTCGGAGGAATAGGCCTATTATGGTTTTGCCAAAGAGAGGTATTAGGGTTCAAAAGAATGATTCCATGTTGAAACTATTCATCATAATGCAAATGTTAATGAAAATATCCAACCTTCTGGTGTGTCTCTGTCTGGTAATAGCAGTTATTTCATGCCACAACATTGGGGGCGGCAAGACATCATGCTCTTTGATAGCCTAAAACAACAACAACAACATGATTGGAATACACACACACACACAAACAGAGAGAGAGAGAGAGATAGAATTTTTTAACTTACGAATTAGGAGGAGAGACGTTGACATTCAAACCAACAAAAATCAGAATAGAGAGAAAGCAAATCCAACAAAAAGTTGTGTACCTCAACAGGTAAAATTACTCCGTCTGGCAGTCTGGTAATGTGAGGATGAAAGGCAGGGACTTTATAAAACACACATCTATAGAAGAGAATAATAAGTGTAATAAAATACATCAGCCATCCAAGCTGGTTCACAACTTTTCAAGTTTTAGAAGCAATATCTCTAGTAAGGGGAACACATACATTACTTTGTTGTTTCTTATCAAGTCTACTATGCCATTGATTGGTGATTTTATCTTCTTAGGACATACAGGCTTGTCAGAAATATAAATGTATCCATTCATTCCATGGCTGCAATAGTAATAAGAAATAATTAAGAAAAAAATGTCGCCTCGAAGTTAGAAACCTAACAAGCATTCAAGGCTGCAAATAATGATAGTAAAAATGATGATGATGATGATGACAGGGAACAATAACGACATCGATAACCATAAAAATAACAATACCAATAACAATAACAATAACCACTGTTCAAAATGGCATGGCTTAACCTGCCATATGGCGTGCCTCATGGATATTTCTGAAAAATTACATCCTATGGTGATATAGCCATTACGCAACAAGGGTATAGGAGATATTGCGCAAATACTGCAGGCCATGGCAGATGCTTTTCGAGGCATATGCAATTTCTCTTCCGAAAAAATTAAGATGGGGTTAAATAAGTAAATTAATGAAAAAACTCAAAATCTAAATTACATAATAAAGCCTTAACCCTAGTAGATCACCTCTCCTATTTGTATCATCTATCTTCTGTGATTGTTCTGCACCTCTACTCTTCTATCGCCTTTATTCTCTGTCAGGTAAGTTTTCTGGAGTATTTTTACTATTGTTGATTTTTTAATTATTCGTAGGGCATCATCATCTGCCTTATCACTTCTCACATTCTTGTTGATTTTTATATAGTAATTTTTTAAGGTATACGGAGCATTGACTTTATCCCCTTATCTGATCGGCATCCAGGATACTTAATTTTTTTTGCTCCATTTGTTTTTACCCATGTATATTTGTTTAATGTTAGCAACTTATTCTAACAAAATTGTCATTAACTTAAGGTTTTTTATTTTTAATGTTGTTTATTTGTCATTCAAACTTGAAACTGTACGTACATTAATTTTTAGTTTTGTTTTTTTAGCTAAACAGATTGCTTAAAATGTTATATACAGACTTTTGAACTTCAAAATTTGAGGCTTACACCTCAATACGCCTTGACATAAAAACACCTCGAAACCGCAATATGCAATTTTGAAAATTGACAATATCAATAATAATAAAAATAAAAATAACAACAATTACAAAACAATTACAACAACAATACAAACACATCATA